ATGAGATGCTGTTAGAAGCTGTATAGGCCTATTGTGATAGTTAATTCTATGTGTCAGCTTGGCTAGGCTCAGTTGTTTGGTCAAATACTAGTGTAGATGTTTCTGTGAAGGTATTTTGTAGATGTGATTAACATTTACAATAAGTTGAATGTAAGTTAAAGGCGATTACTCAGGATAATGTGGGTAGGCCTCTTTCAATCAGTTGAAGGACTTAAAAGCAAAAAACTGAGGTTTCCTGGAGAAGAAGGAAATCTTACCCAAGACTATAACACAGAAATTCTGCCTGAGTTTCCAGCCTTCTGGTCTGCCTTACAAATTTCAGACTCACAGCTGCATCATCAACTCTTACTTGAGTTTCCAGGCTGCAGTACTGCCTTGCAAATTTTGACTCCACAATGGCATACGCCAATTCCTTAAAGTATATCTTCCATTGGATTTATTTCTCTGGAGAACCATGATTGATATACCTATAAAATCTATCTATCATCATATTTGCCTTGAGGATGTTATTAGAAACCTTCTCTATCACTTCAATTAGAGTATTCACAAGAAGTCTCACATAAAATTTTCTTAAAGATTAGTGGCAGGGAAATATTTGCTTCCACTGAAGTACTAGTATATTTCCTATTCACTGATACTGAGAATTACTTGACTATTCTCTACCTCCTTTAATTCAGTTAGGAAGAAGCATGGTGCTTAGCCACAGTGGCTATGTGGGTTGAATTATATTCTTTATTCCTCTTACAACTTGTCACTTCATTAAAAATTTCCTCCACAGTCTTCTCTACTCTTATCTGTAAAATGTCTCAATTCTTTGAGGAAAAGGATAAGGTATAAAGGGCTAGGTTCTACTTTCTGCTTTTCTTTCTTTGGTTTTAGGGTAAATGTTTCTATTTCCTGTATGGCTAAATAAAAATTGTATTTACTTTTTGCCCTCTTTCTAAAATCTTGAGGAAAATCATTAAATAAAATCTGTTCTTTTTTCTCCGCTTGTATGTGAATATATTATATGCTGCTATAGTAATAGCTTCCTACTGAGTCATACCCAGCAGGGCCTACTCTTGGCTTACACCCTGGGAATGGCCATTAGACCAGGCTTTTGAAGTTGGCTAGACCTGGTAGGTGGGTAGACCTAGAGACTAGAAAGCAGGATATTGGGTGGGCTTAATTAACTCAAGTAACTGTATGTATTAGAAAGGTTTGCTCAATAACTTTCTCTGGTGCAATCCCCATTATTTCAATGTGAATGCCTGTTTCAGTAAAAGTCAGTTTGTTGTTAGTGTCAAAATTTTCTGCATCAAAATCTAGCCCTATGGTGGCCAATGGCAGTTTAGTAAGATTCAGATGGCATGCAAGCCACCTTGAAGTTGTAAAATTTTTAGACATCCAATAACAGTCCCCAAATCCAACACCACAAAATATCAGCAAACCACAGGTCCACTTTTTGCTTCCAGTAGATGCTTTTGACTTATAGATACATTAAAATTACATAGGAAATACAAACATCTAAGGTAAAAGACATGTGACAGAGACTATTTTACCTGTCCAGGAATGTTTTATACTTTGATGAGAAGAATATGCTGCAGCCTGGCACATTTGGAATTCCAGGAGGGAGAGAGAGCCAGGCAATCCCAAAAGAAACATATACCGAATAGAATAATCTCCAGTGGCTGATGAATTTGGCTAGTATATTATGTGAGGAGACAGAATACTCTTATTTTCTTCCTCTGAGAGTACAAAGTGTAGAGAAATCTCATATCCTTTGTAAAAATGTTTCTGTATTTATTGTTCATCCTCCCAAATGGCTATTCTCCCAAAAGGTAAACATAGTTTCAGTCCCAGAACTTGGATTTAGCCATAAAGTTCCTCTAAATACCACTTGTCTGATGTTTCTTTAATATGGAGATTAAACACAAACATGAAATTAGCTTCCTTGGAACATTCACTTTGAACCTCGTTTTTCTGCAACTGAGGAGATGATCTTTTGAACTGATGTTGCCTTGCCACATCGACAACGCGTTCAGTGCTTGGATATGGGCCAGCCTTGCTTAGCCCTTTTCCTTTATTTAGCTTGCTCAATATTATTGGCAGGTTGCTTCCACCAGAACTCGTATTTTCCTAAAGGATTTTAGACAACTTCAAGTAGGTTCAATATCTTTCATGGGAAGACGTGCTAACTGGGCAGAAAAAGTAAAGAGCCAATTATAATAGCAGCAGCCGAAGCTGCATTGTTTTTGTTGCATTGGGCATATAAGGGAATCTTGTGCA